GCAAGATGAGACAGAGATACAAATTACTAGTATAAGTATTTAAATTGCACTAATTAAACTTACTATGAAACCAGAAGATATTGATTCAATCTATTAATCTCCCCTGCCTCCCTTTTTTATTTTACATATATGGGAAAATTAGTAAGCATTTTAGTAAGCACTCTTCCACATATGTGCAGATATATGCATAAGACTTAAACAAAACAAATGCTAAACCAAATCTAACTGAAGATGAGAGACACCAGGGTTTTGCTGTGATTTCTCTATTAAAAACTCAATATATATAAGACAGAACATGCATTTTGCAATTAGTGGCAAAGATGACTGTATACTAATTATTATAGACTGCTGCTATTCTCTGCTACTTAACTGCATTGTTGCAACAGGGTTTTGCAAATTACTTAAACTTAGAATGATATCATCATCATCATCATCATCATCATTATTATTATTATTATTATTACAGGTAGAATAACTTCTGCTTATGAATCATATACAGAATCAGGGATTTCCCTTCTACATCCTTGAATGAAACTACAGTTGAGTCAGATGATAACATTTTTATTTGGTTCAGGTAAACAGGAAATTATTTCTCATTGCTCATTGTGTGCTTAGAATCTAGCACAATGAAATTGTAAGTGACAGCCTTCATAAAACCAAAGTCTCCCTTAGTTCAGATAATATTATGCAGTAGATAATTAGACAACAAAATGTTTTTTGCCCAATGCAGACTGGTTGCATGACTTCAGGGAATCTGTTTGCTGCTAGTTGTATCCCAGGCAACAGTAGATGTCAGAAACAGGCACCATACGCATCAGCAGTGTGTTTTTTCTTACAATCAAACAGCATCAATGGTGCAAAATGAACAACAACAAAAAATGGTACCTTGGGTGTTCTGTCCCATGTGCTATGCTACAAAAAATTGTGGGTAGGCACACAAAATATACGTGCTGGCAGATACTCTCTGGTTCTGCCACCTAACTTGAACTAACATTATCCACTGTCTTGCCAGGCATTATTCGGCAGTGTAAACTTGAAACTATAAAACTCTTTCAGCCTCACTAGTTATTAATGAAAGATGATAAATGGTTTTATCAGGGAAGTTTCCTCTGACGTGACTCCATGGACTGAGAATTGATACCACGGAGATGCTGTTTGACAGTACATGAATGAGGATCATGGTGATATGGCAAGTGTGAAAGGAAGGCAAATGTGGAATATAAGCACCTTTCACTATGGAGAACCTCAAATCCAATTGCATAAACTTTTTGGTTTGTGGAGAAGATCCACTTCAGCAGCAATCTAGTGACCATGAACAATGCAGACAGCTCTGTGAATGAATGTGCTTTCTTCATTTCCATAGATGATAATACGCAGGTGGTACCAGCGGCTTGCAGACCACTACACCAAGCACTATTTAATCACTTCACTTTCAAGAGCCTTTCTCTGTTCATTACAAGGTATTTCTAGATCTACATTTGATCAAAGACGATGTCATTCTGAAGTTCCTCAATAACTCCCAGCTTGGTAATCATCTTGTCCCATGTTTGTCAATTTTTCTTTTCTTTACACAATGATAATTCTTCACCATCCACTTGACTGCTTCTGCTACAAGTACCCTCAATCTGCTGTTTCTGCTCAATCTTGTGGCTTTGAGATTAAACCAAGTTATATTATCCAAAGCATACCCCAGTCCTTCACAAGCTTTAGTGCTATTGTGTTTCATACTCACTCGCTTACTAATGCCAAGAGGAATTACTGCTAATAATTTTTGGTGTTATTTTCAACTCAAAAGAAAAAAAAGTAATCTTTAACCCCTGAGCAATTAATTGTAAAAGCAATGTAAAGGGACATATGTTCCTATTTTACTTGTCCTCATTCTTCATGAGGTTGGATTTGATGATCTTAAAGGTCCTTTCCAACCAAACTGATTCTACGATTCTATGATTCATGATTTTGTTACTTTTAGCTGCAATTTCTGGACTTAGATTGGATGTTCTGAACAACCAGACCTGATTTCTCACTCAGGGAGCTTTGACTTCAACTCTGAAACAGCATTACAATCCTTTGGTAATAGCATGAATAAATGCTGAGATGTTACGGATGGGTGGTAAGATAAAACAATACATTCTTATCTGTTTTGCTGTTTTGTTGTGGGGATTGGGTTGGGGTTTTTTTTGTTATTATTATTCTGCAGGATAGCATGCAAATTAAGGGAAAGAAAGACAATAACTAGAACTGATAGCATCAAAAAAATCACAAATCCTCCTCTCATAATAGAAAAGTCTTTGGTGAAGAACTGAGTCTTGGTGGTTGAGACACGCAGGGCAGAAGCAGCAGATGTATCACCTCAAACCAGTATTTTTAAACAAGTTAAGTCCAAAAAAATATATCAATGGGCTAATTAAAATCCAGCCCACTTTTCTCCTGCCATTTTTAAAATAAAACTTATAAGTTGCCTCTGCTGCTTGCCATCAAACTTACCTTGGGTAGCTGTACTGTAAGGGTATTTGAAATGTGAGAGGATCTGGTTCATTGAAATGTTTGTTCATTTGATTATCTTGTTAAGGGTCAATTAGTATAACAGAAATAGAAAACAACAAGGAAAGTGATAAATTCAACACAGAAACCAGGGTATAATAGAGACAATGACGAAGACCAAGACTCTAGCCTCTGACGAAGGGGCCATTAAAGGACTGGCCGCAACTGCCTCAAGGAGGATCAACCTCAGTTTCGTAACTGATCATAAGGAGGGGAAAACATCATTATCATGAGTATTATGGGGTGTTTGAGGGGGTTCATGGGAACCATGGGAAATTCAAAGTTACTGTGTGATACCAGCGGGCTCTTGTGGGATTACATGGAATTTATTATGGCATGTTTAGAGGAACGCTAAAGGGTGGGGAAGTATCAGGGAGGAACAAGCATGGCAAAATGGAGAGGAGAAGGCAATCAAGGGGCCAGTCTTGTGTAAGCAGAGCCAGTCAGGATGCTTGTGCCTGGGATGGAGGCCCTGGGGTCTCCAGGTGCTTCTGGCTGGGCTCCGGTGCCCAGGCCAAAAGAATCCCCAGACCCTGCAGGCTGCTGGATTCAGTGGCTCCTGTAACATCCTTAACAGAAGAAATTGAAAGACCTGTCTGATCTATTTTCATCATGATGCATATGCACCAGCAATCCAAGCATTTGTTACGCTTGAGGTAAGTTCCCTGACCTTGGAGCTGTACCTACCAAAATACAGCTATAATCATCGGAAATAAAACAACTGATCAGTTACGGTGGCTGCTATTTGCTCCAGCATCTAGTAGAGAAATCATTTAGGAACACAGCAAAAGAATCTAATAAAACTTGATTTTACTTCAGGAAGACTCAAATCGTAGGGCAAGTGGGACATATTTATAGAAATGAAAAATGTACGCAAAATATAAAAGATCCACTGATTTGGAATTGTTGCACTAAATCAGTATTGCTTTAATGTTTGCTATCATGAAGAATCAATGAAGTGTAATCAGCTGTATTACTGCAATTTAATTAGGCATGCAACTATAAAAAAACATTTCACTCTACAGACATCTCTCACTGTCTCTATCTCAAATTAAGAAAATTCAAGCTTTGTATTTAGGTTAAAAATAAAAACAAATATGAGTGGTCAGAATTTTATTTCAATGCATGAATCCTTTGGAAAAAAAAGAAGTCCAAGCTGGAATCCTTTAAATGACTGTAGGACAGGACTGGCATTTCAAGAAATAGAAATAGTAATTGTTAAGAAAAGTCAGAATAGTACCATCTGAAAACAATTTACGAAGGCTGTGAATATGCTACCTAAAACATTATAAAATCAAATATAAAATTATTCAATACATTTCCTGAAGGGAAAAATGCTTATTAGAAGACTTACGAAGTCAGAGTTCAATTAAGATATTTTTCCAGCAGTACTTCAGTAGGTCTCTACCTTCATGATAACTTCTTAGCATCACTAAATTGTATCATCTCAAATGGACAACAGAATCATTACATGTTTAGTTATTGTTCCTGCAAATCTTTCTGACATAATATATGAATGCATTTACTATTATATTTTGCAGAACAGAGATTTACCAGTGACAGACTAGTTCAATACAACACAGAAATGTATTAAGCATTTGCCATATTTTATATGAACAAGTAATATTTAATTATTAATGGCATTTGTCTTGTCTATACACTTCCACAGTTCAGCTGATTTTGGATGTACAGGTTCCAAATGAGATGATAAAACATTCTGACACGGTGATGAGCAGGGATCAGATGAACTTTTGGAAATATCAGTTCCTAACTCACTTTTCTGCCTTGATTCTTTTGCTTTTGCATGCAAAAGAACTTGAGTTTTAAGAACTTGAGTATTTTTAAAAGAAATGCAGACATCCTCTGATTCCAATTGAATATCTATATCAGTGAAGCAAACTCATAAATTTTTAACTGTCATGGAAACCAATACTCAGGTATCTGTCTTTTGGATTCTTTATGAAAAGGAATCTCAATGTCAGAGTTTTGGGGAGTCATGCATTGCTATTAATCTTATGTTTCAGTATCTATTCATAATAGCTATTTTTTGATGAAACGTCTCTATAGAGGTACCTGTAGTATTTTATAGGTGTTTAAACACATAGCCTTCTTTTCATGTCAGACACAATTAAAGCTAATTTGAAATATGCTGTATATATTTCTTATCCTATTATTGATGAGCTCTTCCAATCACAACTACTGGAAACTATGTCTATTCAGATGCAAAAGAAAAAAAGTTTCTGTGGATCTGGGCTATAACAGAACATTTTAAATTCTGATACTATCAAACTATAACAGCTACTCAAATTCAGCTAATTAAAAATATAAAAAAAAGAAGAGACCCTGTAGAACGAAAAAAGATAAGCAGCAATTTGTCTCAGTTAAAAGGATGTATTTCAGGCTATTATCTATCACATTACTACCACTAAATATGCTTAAATATTCTCCAGCACACTCACCTCTTTTTGACGGTACTTAATTGCCAGTTTCAATCTTGCAAGATCATTACCACTTTGTTCTTCTATCAAGCTATTATCATCTCTGTAATTAAGAATAATTTCCAATTCCCTGGAACTCCGTGTCTGATCCAGGAGATCTTTTGCAAATTGCTTGCATTGCCGTGACAGTTCCTCGTACTCCGACTTAAATTCATTTTCGACTTTACTCAGTTCCTGTAGCTCCCAGCTCAGTTGAAAAGCGGTAAGGAAAGGATCCTCACTGGACAAAGCAATCAACGATGGGCTCGCCAGAGCCTTGTAGATATTGAGTCTGGATCGAGAGTGGCGGAGGCTGTCCACATCTGAACTTGAGACGCATTCGACACAGTTACAGCGGACCTCGTGTGGCCTAGGCACGGAGACCCCTTTCTGCACAAGGAGCTTTATGATTTCGTAATTGTTGGTGTGGGCAGCCAGAATAATGGGTGTTATATCTGGTGTGAATTCTGAAAACTGCTTGTCCAGAAGCACTGGTGGCACCTGTGAAAAAAAGGCAAAAAACCCCTTACAGACCTCTTCATTGAACAAGAGCTACAGAAAATTAAGCTACAAACAGTTTACCAGGTAGTACACTTACTGATGGATCTTTGCTTCTGGATAAAGTTGAAGGAAACGCTTTAAACGTAACGATTCAATAAGCTAAGATAGCCTCTTTCCAGTTAATAAATTGCTATAAACGGGGCGTGATTTTTCATAAAACCCGTTTGTATGTAAACAGCCTATGGGCAACGATTCATTAGAGCAAATGATTAGATAAACAAGGAAGAGTCAGACACAAACACTCCTGTCGGGTCCCTTGAAGTGCCAGCCGTGAGCAAGATGGAAATGCTTTCTCATTTCTCACTGGCTAATCTCAGGTTTATAGGGAAGACAGAATCATGGGGGCATAATTGTGATTCTCTGAAGGAAGCAGGGAACAGGACACAGACAAGCTGGAGTTATAAAATAAAATGGGCAAGTAAACGAGAAAGAAAAGACATGTTTTCTTAAAGAGAGGGTTGAAAATATGACTGTATAGAGAAACAAAGATACCTGCTGCAAAGAGCTTAACATCTTAAGGCTCAGTCCTACATTCACATGCACAAACAAACAGACGGTCTTCACAGGAAAATAGGCGAGTTGGTAGAACAAGGGCCCCGAGAGACCATTTTTAAAGCCTCTTCTGGTGTGTATTTCTGCATTTTCAGTCTTCTGGTGTGTTTCTATATTTTATTAGAAGACTGTAAGGTCTTTCATCTTAAACCTGTTTCTTTATTTTAAAATACCAGCTTCTAAAGTCTTTCCCAGATCAAGACAGCTCATTACACTAGTATGATGAAGCCATATAAGTGTAATTAGCCAATGTCAATCAAAAAATGGTATTGGCATCATCACTTATGGACGGCCTTTGGTCTACAGCTCAATAAATAAGTACAAACTCAATCCACATCAGCAAGGTACTCTGAGTGGCACTCCTTTAGGGAGAAGAAAAAGGGAAAACATTCGACTCAAAGTTATAGGAAGTCTAGGGAAATAGATGGCCATTGGAGGGAGGAAAAAATGTTTGATAGAAGTCTTATGACAGCAGAATGACCCCGTGGAAAAAATACACAAATAGCTAAGAAGAGAAGTTAACCGGAAACAGGTAAAGCATGTGAGAACAGTGTAAGAATGAGTTGAAACGAGCTATGTTTAAAGCTCCAGGATGGAAAGAAGCGAAAAAAATGAAATGCACAGAATCAGACAGAAACTCAGTGGAAAATAAAACTAGAACGAAATTAATCTGAAAAGAAATGGTAGTCTGCAGATCTAAATCCATAAATAAAATCCATAGATCATAGGGTTTTTTGTCCCTCTTTCTAATGAAGACACTGTGTGTTTTGTACATTTTTAGCTGTTCTGCATGTAAACCAGTTCATTTGTTCAATGGAACCATGTCCATGTATAAGAGCGGCTATGTGTGTGGGCTGTAAAACTGGGGCCTGAAGCACTAATTAGCTGAATGAGAGAATTACTTTGGGAGGTGGCCGCTTATTCATGTAAAATGGGGTGGAAAGTCAAGACTGGAGATCCGGCATTCGGGATTGTAATCACACATCCCCAGGGAAACAATCCCTGCCTGGCCATAGCGTATTGCTGACCTCGAGTAGCTGTGCCGGATTCTGAGAAGGTATGTGGAGTCAACGGGCAGAAATCCCTTTTCTCCCTTCCCACGCACTCAAACATGCACGCTTGGCTTGGCACTGGGTAAGCCTGGCACGGAGTCTGTTTTGGAGCAAGGCTGTGGGATGCCTGAGCCAGCCCACCCACCCTCACGACCCCACGCGGAGGGAGCAGCTGTCCTCACAGTCCTCCCCACAGGCTTATGGGAGATGCTTACAACCAGGGGTTGTGAGCTGAACAGCTTCTGAGCAAGCTGTCTTCTGCCTTCCTCTTCTTTATTCTGAGGTAGAAATGAAATTATGTAGTGTGCACAGGTATAAAGAAAAATACAGGTTTAAAATTACTTAGGAGGTAAGGAATGGGGGGCACTCAGGCGCAAGAACAAGCCGAACGTCTGTGTGCTGTGCCCAGTCTCAGCTGCAGTCAGGAGAAGAAACACAACCTGGGCATTTTACCTTCAGAGCACTGTCTGGTTATGCCCACACTGCTCTGCCAGGTCTCTCGCAACACTGGGAACCTCCAGGGCATCTCAGGTCATCTGTCGCCTCCAGGCTGAGCAGTGCGCAGCACCCACCCGGGGATGCCCATACGCCAAGATCGCTTTATTATTCCTGCCCAGTATGGACTGGGGCTTGAAATCCATACCTGTTTCCTCACCTGTCTGTGGTGTCAGTGGGGAAAATGAGACCTATTTCCAACCCCAAACTTCACTGGTTATTGCAGTCTTAGATTTATCTTCTCTTTTACTTACATATTGCGTAGAAAAAAATAGAGCACATGTGTGCACATGGACATTTTTCCTGCTCTCTGAATTGCCACTGTGGTCAATGCTTTTGAGGTTAGAAAGAGATTAAAATGGCAGTCGAGGCTCAAATTTTGCGTAAGTAGAAGTGAGCTTTTGGGCTATCATAGGACTGAAAAAGGTTTGCAGGGAGGGATGGGTTGTGCTTTGACAGCACCTGCCACAACCAGTGAGACTCCCTCTTGGCCCCAGGGTCAGAGTACCAGGAAGCGGAGGAGAGAGCCACAACGGCAGAAAACTCAAGGGTACAAAGCTATAACTCCAAACTCACTGACTGCTCAGAGTATTCCTCTGTCACTTAGCATGTCATTATCTTCGTACTTTCTGACAGTACTAAACTAATATTTGCTTCAAGCCCTGCCAGAACTGAAGGCTATCTTAACATGTCATTAACTGCAATCTTCTCTGAAAAATTAAGAGACACAGCTTCAAACAACATGGCATTGCAATGATTGACTTGTACACGGGGTCCATTAACTTAAAAACTGCCTGTTTTTCTCATAGCTTATCAAAACCTTTCATCTTAACGTAACTCAGCTATAAATCTAATGCACACATTTTGTAATTCATGCCATCAGAATTTACCCAAATATAGAAGTGTGTATTAAATAATTTCAGCCTTAACTTACAGAAATATTTAAACTTAAAGGGCAAACCCTAAGACTGCAACTTTAATTACATCATGAGTTTAACCTTTGACCCTTTACCTCCTATTTTAAGATTTCCTACTCATTTGAACCAAAGATATACAGAATGCCAAAGCAATAAGGTCAAATAATTCCCTCATCTGCAGTACAACGAAGTACTTATCTTCTGAAGTTCTGAGTGCTCTCATGGCACTCAGAATATTTTAGCATTTAACTGTTGACCCAGAGTACTTGCTCTGAAGTCACCAGACTTATGGTAAAGTTTACTTTCAAACTACTGCAACATAATTCTCTTTAAAGAAGCCAAAAAAAAAACCAGCACACACACTGATACTAGCCACACAATCTAAAGCTTTGACAGAACACTCAGAGAAAACACATGAATCTTCCTTAAATCCTGGAAGGATGAGGAGCTACTAGGTCTTACAGTCACTGACTGTGACTGTGACTCCCCAAGGCTTAACAGTGGTATAAATATATTACACACTTTGGAGTTATTATGTCAACTGTGAGGCTTCTTAAACTTTTAAAGGTCAAATTATTTTTGCCTTCTTAGGTTTTGTTGAAATTTTTCTACTTCAACATTATTTAGAGGGCTGAGCAAAGCAGTTTAGGGATTGCATACTTGTATGCATACCTGTATGGGGATGAGTAGGCAAAAAGAAAACAAAACAGGAAAGATGAAAGAAGAGCTCAAAGTCTGTACACTTCAGGGCTGAAGTACATGAGATTTTTTGTTTCATTCCTTTTCCCTGCACTTACTGTAAGTGGGAATGAGACAGCCTGAATTAGGTATCTAACATTTTTTTTAGATACCAAAAGGAACAACCCTCTTCAATATGTGTAAGTAAGTTCTCTGTATGGTCCGTGTGAAAAGCCCCTATGCTATGACAGAAAGAGAAATCTAGGCTAAATTAATGACAGTTAAGTCTGAGACCTTTTCTGTCCCTATGACATTAAGGTAGAGAGACCAACTACTTGATGATCTGCTACATATCCAGCAAACAGAAAAAGATAACAGTGAGGTTGGAAACGGAGGAACCAATACCCCAGGTGTGTCCATGTCTCCATCTAGATTTCTCATAATAGCTCTGATTACTGTAATGTCTTAACAAAGACACTGAAAACTGCAGTGCCCATTTACCTGCTTTTTAAGTGCAAGAGCTCAGAATCTATGTAAAGCAACCTATTTCCTTGGGCAAACAGATAGTTTGCCTGGTTCTTGTCTTTATTTATTTATTTACAATTATTTTGCCTTTTGTTTGTAAAGGAGAGCAAATCCTACAATGGCTGCAATTAGGTGAATAAATTTGAGTCGGTCAACCATGACAGCATGACTGGAGGAAAAACCTAAAGCAAAGAAATAAAAGGATATATGACAGATAACAAGATTAATACATATGTCATCTCATGCAGTACCACAATATATTAGGAAAGTGATATTATAAAGGTGTGTCATCAAGCTCATCAGTTGCTTCAGCACTATTATTCTGTAGCTGTCATCAGCCAAACATCTTGAAAATGCTGAACTCTACATTTCAGTACAGCCGACAGCATACAAGTTATCCCTGTGCGTATAAAGTTTTCTGATTTGCATTCTAATTTGTGGAGTTTTTCTCTTCTTCTGTTTGATATTATTATATCAGCTAAAATACATCCTGATTGTAATAATGGAAGTAGTTCCACTAGAAGGATTCAAAAAATCCTCCTAACCCAACTCCTTTCCCATGCTCTAAGTCACTGATAAACTACCAGATAACTTGAATAACTTGAAAATATAACTTCAAGATAACTTGAATTCAGTTGTCACACCACTAAAAGGGTCTGTTTACAGTCTGTCCTGAAAGATGTGCTGAAATTACCCTAACAATACTGCACAAACTGCAGGC